CTGTACATGGGGTGTACTGTTTTACACATGAGACATCGCTGAATACAAACGTGTATTTTATTGCTGTAAAAAAACGAACAGCATGACATTTACAGTAAAAGTCATGCAGAACTAAAATTTCTTAATCTCACTTTTTTATATTTTACTAATATTAAATTATGTTTCATAGCTAAATATTTGATGTTGAATGAAAGCCTTATTTCTCCTGAATAAAATGATATATAATAAGTATGGGTGCACTTAATATGAAAGAGGTGAATTACGGTTGCACAGACAGTCAAATTCCAAATTTTGTTTGTTTTTTTATCAAAGCATGTACGTTTGGCTCAGTCCTTAAGGGGTTAATCTGGCCAGATGGCCTGCTTTTACACAATTTAGACACAAACACGCCTATAACACTCCCACACAAAACAAGATAATCCCTCCCCTGTGCCTGAGAGGAGACTAGTTACATGCAAGCCAAACACCATATCATTGAAACAAGCAACATAGCAAAACACCAACAATACCCTCCAATAGTTACATCCCCTTATAGCCCCTATCTGGTGACCAACATATCCAAAAATCACCCAGATCGGTACAGGATTTCCTTGAAGTCATAAGTCAGTACACGGTCCTATGCCCAAAACAGTACTATGAAATCAATGCTAACAGTCGGTCAAGTTTGGTAGTTTAAAAAAAACGAACAAACTACCAAACGGAATCCCTAGTTCTACCCTGGAGCTTGTTCACCTTGTTCCTGGGAACGATTCCACGGAACAGTGCCCTTCTAAGTCATATAGAACCAAACGCAGGCGTCGATGGACGTTCAGGAGTTTGTGTCCAATTTTAGTTCCAGGAGATTGATGCCCAAACACATTCGCGGGGAAAAGAGGGCAACCACCTCGTGGGCACTCCTACAAAATGCGGCCACCCATACGAACAATTAGAATACTGCGGTGGAACTTGCTACAAATTGTCAATTGGGCTCATTCGTGTGGTTGTTTGGTTTCCGAACAGTACCAAATCACAAGAAGAGAGCCCTTTTCAGTGTATTTTGCATGGCCCATAATCCTGGGAGAGGAGGCTGGCAAGCAGGCTCCTCCAGGAGCTCGTGGCAAACAACCAGACCCAATGGGCATTTGTCACTGGCAGATTGCAGAATACCCTAGTATGATCACTAATGAACGTTTATATAGAACATACTGCCATGATGGGCTATAGGCCTAGATTTCCAGCAATACTGTAACTAAACATGGTATAATGAGTGCCATTTTTGCATCCTCTAATACTCACCATCCTTTTTGATTTTCTCGTTGAGGTTGTTTATGTAGATTGTGTTATTTGGTCTCGTCTCCTGGACTGCCATGTTTCACGACTATCTGCAAAGCAAAAACCAACAGACATTCAGAGAGGGGAGAATAATGCATGAGATATGCCCTGACAGTGATAACCAATACAGGACAAGCCTGGGACTCCCTTTATATCCAGCATTGTGGGATTTCTAACTCAGGGAGTAGGAGGGACTGGGGTTACCAGCCCAGTCTAGGAAAGCAGGAGGTAGAGGGACAGCCTGGTGGGAGTTTTAGTCTGGAGGAGGGGGTAATAGGACCAGCCTGATGGGAGTTTTAGTCCGGAGGGGGGTATAAGGCCAGCCTGATGGGAGTTTTAGTCCGGAGGGGGGTATAAGGCCAGCCTGATGGGAGTTTTAGTCTGGAGGGGGGTATAAGGCCAGCCTGATGGGAGTTTTAGTCTGGAGGGGGGTATAAGGCCAGCCTGATGGGAGTTTTAGTCTGGGGGAGAGGAGGCATAAGGCCAGCCTGGGAGTTTTAGTCTGGGGGGAGAGTGGAGGGGAAGGCCGGTGGCCTGATGGGAGTTTTATCTGAGGGGGGTGCGGGCGGGGCGGCCAGCCTGATGGGAGTTTTAGTCTGGAGGGGGGGTATAAGGCCAGCCTGATGGGAGTTTTAGTCTGGAGGGGGGGTATAAGGCCAGCCTGATGGGAGTTTTAGTCTGGAGGGAGGGTATAAGGCCAGCCTGATGGGAGTTTTAGTCTGGAGGGAGGGTATAAGGCCAGCCTGATGGGAGTTTTAGTCTGGAGGGAGGGTATAAGGCCAGCCTGATGGGAGTTTTAGTCTGGAGGGAGGGTATAGGGCCAGCCTGATGGGAGTTTTAGTCTGGAGGGAGGGTATAAGGCCAGCCTGATGGGAGTTTTAGTCTGGAGGGAGGGTATAAGGCCAGCCTGATGGGAGTTTTAGTCTGAGGGGGGGTAAGGCCAGCCTGATGGGAGTTTTAGGGAGGGGGGTATAAGGCCAGCCTGATGGGAGTTTTAGTCTGGAGGGGGGGTATAAGGCCAGCCTGATGGGAGTTTTAGTCTGGAGGGGGGGTATAAGGCCAGCCTGATGGGAGTTTTAGTCTGGAGGGAGGGTATAAGGCCAGCCTGATGGGAGTTTTAGTCTGGAGGGAGGGTATAAGGCCAGCCTGATGGGAGTTTTAGTCTGGAGGGAGGGTATAAGGCCAGCCTGATGGGAGTTTTAGTCTGGAGGGAGGGTATAGGGCCAGCCTGATGGGAGTTTTAGTCTGGAGGGAGGGTATAAGGCCAGCCTGATGGGAGTTTTAGTCTGGAGGGAGGGTATAAGGCCAGCCTGATGGGAGTTTTAGTCTGGAGGGGGTATAAGGCCAGCCTGATGGGAGTTTTAGTCTGGGGGGGAGAGGGAGGGTATAAGGCCAGCCTGATGGGAGTTTTAGTCTGGGGGGGGTTATAGGGCCAGGCTGATGGGAGTTTTAGTCCGGAGCTCGCACTCACTGTATACCGCTCTGTAAGTCCCTCGTTGCCGCAGTCACAGCGCTCACTGCCAGGCAGGCTTCACCCGGAAGTTAGGCCTCTGCGACCAATATGGCGGCTGGCGGTAGCTGTGAGGCGGGGGAGACGCTCAGTCTCGGTGGGCGGCTCGGGGAGCTCTCGGATGGGCAGCGGCGGCAGACGGGGAGGCTCCGGGTTCGCTCTCGGGGTGAGTTCCGGCCGATGGCAGACACAGGCTGAGATACCGCTCGGATTGAGACTAGGCCGCGTTACTACAGCAACCAATCCCGCTCAGTAATGTGCAGGAAGCACCGCCCACCGGCACAATGCAAGCCGCTGGTTGGCTGCACGTTAACCACGCCCACTTGTGGTAGCTCTGCTTCCCGCTCCGCTGTGATTGGTTAGTCAGCTGTCCAATAGAAAGAGAGAGATCTTGGTACGTCATCACACGTGAGCGTGAGAGCTGTGCAGCCTTTAAATCCGTCCCCCCGGAAACAGGAGCCAGGAGCGGTGAGAGGGACAGAGCTCGGGGGGGGACTTACTGAACGTTACATTAACCCCCCCTGCTGTATGCAGCATTCACATCCTTCACCTGGGAAACATGAACCCAATAACTGACCCCCCCTGCAGCATGTGAATCCTACATACAGCAAGGCAGCACTAACCCCCAATAACTGACCCCCAGCATGTGAATCCTACATACAGCAAGGCAGCACTAACCCCCAAAAACTGACCCCCCTGCAGCATGTGAATCCTACATACAGCAAGGCAGCAGTAACCCCCAATAACTGACCCCCCTGCAGCATGTGAATCCTGCATACAGCAGGCAGCACTAACCCCAATAACTGCAGCATGTGAATCCTGCATACAGCAAGGCAGCACTAACCCTCCAATAACTGACCCCCCTGCAGCATGTGAATCCTACATACAGCAAGGCAGCACTAACTCCCAATAGCTGACCTTCTGCAGCATGTGAATCCTACATACAGCAAGGTAGCACTGACCCCCCTGCAGCATGTGAATCCCGCATACAGCAAGGCAGCACTAACCCTCCAATAACTGACCTGCAGCATGTGAATCCCACATACAGCAAGGTAGCACTTTACCTGTGCCGGCTCTAACACCAGTAGTGGCAGGATTAATATGTCTCAAACTTCACCCATCTCACCCACCCAGCCAGCATAACATTATTAGGATATTATTGTGGGACTTATTTACTAAGCTCTCAGATTAAAACCTGATTAGCAAAATGTAGAGTAAAATAACTCCCCTACAAAATGCCAATAGGTGACAGTTCGGTGATAAAATTCAGGTATATCTATAAAATCCCCCATACATCCATGTTGGTAGTATTGTGAGATATGTCAGTTTATAGTGTTCCCTTTGGTCATGTAGCCTGTCAGTCATTATGTGTGATCCACTCTGGTAGCCGAGTAACAAATGTCGATTTTCCATAAATCTGTGACTGACAAGCGAGTAATTATTTTATTGTGATTATTTTCCAGGACTGTGTATGTATATAAATTAATAAAGGATCCATGCCAGGTGAAGATGGAGATAATTCTGCTCCCAGACCAATCCCCCCTCCTCCGTTACCCCCACCTGTCCAAGTGCCCTCTGTCCCACAATCTGACGTAAAAAGCAAGTTCTATAAGAAGGTGGCCGAGAGCAGTGACCCATCAGCTGGAGAATGCAATGAGTTGAAAAGGATGATCAAAAACCGTCAGAGCAGGTACATTGTGTGCGAAGTAGGCCAACTGTGTGCAGTCAATACCGGGAAGGTACATTCTGTGTGCGGTAATGGCAGATGGTTGCCAGATAGGACAAGGGGTCTAAGTACAGAATCTTATCGACCAAAAACACTAAAACAGTCCTACCTCCCAAGCGTTATGTATCTGGTGGAGATGTTGCCGGAGGGAAACCCATAGGATGCAGCTATAAGAAAACTCAGATTCTCTTAAAATATGATAATTCATGCTTTCATCTTTCAAGTAAATCCATAACCCCTAACAGCAGTGTCCAGTGAAGCAGGAAGTCAATGGGCAATGTAAAAGAGTGTGCCACTGACGCAGATCATGTAACCAGAACTTCCGAAAGGGAGGGACATGCCCAAAAAGGAGGTGTGGCTGCCCAAAGAATTGGAAGGCTAGCCTGGCATGAATGCAGGCTGGCCAACAGCATCCTGAGCTTGGCATAAATGCGTCTAATGATGCACTCGCTCCACGCTTTCTAATGACTGTCCCCTAGCACTCGCTGATCCACTTGTCTCCTTACCTTCTTACTAGCAGGCAGAAGCTCCTGCTATACAGTCTGAGACAGTGAGTGTAGAAAAAAGGGAACATCCACAGTGTTAGAGAGACCAAAGTAAGCATTACCTTAAAGGGACACTATAGTCACCCACACCACTTCAGCTCAATGAAGTGGTCTGGGTGCCAGGTCCCTCAGGTTTTAACCCTTCAGATGCAAACATAACAGTTTCAAAGAAACTGATATGTTTACATTTGGGGTTAATCCAGCCTCTTGTGGCTGTCTTCCGGACAGCTACTAGAGGCGCATCTGCGACGTTGGAGGCACTTTTCGCCTCCATCGTGCAGAGCGTCCATAGGAAAGCATTGAGGAATGCTTTCATATGGACACTTTGAATGTGCGCACTGCACTTGCCGCGCATGTGCATTTGGCTACGCTGACGTCGGATGGGGGAGCTGACGTTGGCGGGGGAGGAGAGGTCACCAGCGCCGAGGGAGCCTCCCTTGGCGCTGGAATAATGGAAGCTGCTGAAAACGGGTTTGTTTTTCTGACACTATGATCCTTTAACTAATTTCATTTCAGCTAGTCCACACAAGTTTTGTTTCCATCTATCCATCTTAAGTTTCCATACTTAAAAAAGAGTATGTGAAGAGTAGTTAGGGTTGCCTTTCTTAGAAAAAAATACAGGCCTTACTAATTTGCATAACTAATTATGTATGTGTGACATCACATGATTTAAATCACAAGGAGTGACATCAGAGAAAATTCTGTAAAATCACCAAAAAACTACTTACAATTTGATTCTGCTGTGTGGATGGATTGCTCCCAGTGTCCCCATGTCGCCCAGTGTCCCCTAGTGTCTGTGTCCCCATGTCTCCCAGTGTCCGCATGTCACTAGGGGACACTGTGAGACATGGGGACACTGAGACTATGTATCACAGTGTCCCTATGTATCACAGTGTCTCAGTGCCCCATGTTGCCCAGTGTCCCCTAGTGTCTGGGTCATATAGAGACATGGGGACACTGAGACACTTGGTGACACTGGGAGACATGGGGACACTGAGAAACTAGTTACACTGGGAGACATGGGGACACTGAGACAGTAGGGACACTGGCTGGGAGACATAGGGACATTGTGTCCCTAGTGTCCCCATGTCTCCCATTGTCCCCAAGTGTCTGTGTTCCCATGTCTCAGTGTCCCCATTTGTGTCTGTGTCCCCATTTGTGTCTGTTTCCTCGTGCCTCCAAGTGTCCCCAAGTGTATGATCATCCCCAGAGGTCTCCCAGTGTCCCCATGTCTTACAGCGTCCCCTAGTGTCTCAGTGTCCCTATGTCTCCCTGCAGCCTTTACGTTATCCCTCACCTCCCTGAGCTGTAGGCTGTCTCTGCAGGCTGGGAGCTGCTGTCTGGACTCTCGGTGCTGTGTAGCTGCTCCTCACAGATCAGTCAGTAGAGAGATGTAGGTATATGCTGTAACTTCCTATCCCTGCCTCACTCCACACACAGTGACCCCTACTGGCCGGTCGCAGTGCAGGTACGCTGTGTTCAGTAATGAGGTCGCAGTGCAGTCACACTATGCAGTAATGGGTGCAGTGTTGGCAGTAATGGGGTAGTAGCTTAGGTACACTTTGTGCAGTAATGACCAAGGGTCACTCTATGATCTATTATCTCTGATTCCTTCTTTATTAGGTTCAGTGAGGAGTTAAAATGGCTGCTTTATAACCAGCATGTGCCGTCTCTGATCCAGGAAGGACCCCAGTAAGTTAATCCACACATCATACACTGACAATCTGTGTACAACACACTGTGCTCTACGTATAACACACATTCAAATATTACAAGTTTTTAGAATGAAAACTGTACTTCATAATCTGTTACTTTCCCACTGTTCCCATGTGAAATGACCAAGTTATGGCCTTGTATCTTTGCCAAGTTAAGGTAGGTCCTAACATGACCTAATTGAAAATCTAAGGTATACATTTCTGAACTTATTAGGACACGGAGGAGAGAGTTTGGAGACCGAGATACTGCTCCATTTTATCACGACTGAGAGGTTGACTTGTTCAGGAGGGGATGTTATTCTATTTACTGATATTGCAAGCATATACCTTGATCTTATAAACTCTGCTATAAATTATTGTAATGGATTATTAAGGTTTTATATGTCTATATTTTTATTTTTATTTAATAAAAAATGTTTTTATATTTAATATTTCTTTATTCAATTTTATCATATAAAATACATACAATAAGACATAATATTCCTTAATAAATAGACTCTAAACCGGCCTTTATATATTCATCATCCAAAGATAGGTTGAAATAAATGTTTCTAGCATTTCAGGACCGTGACATAAAATAACATCCATAGATAGTCGGATCATTAATCTGTACGGAGCAAAACACAAACAGATGGAGCTATTCCAGTTTGTATCTTGTGCAGTAATACTATTGGCCTATAACTAATGCTTCCATTACAAGACAAACCTGTATTGCTTCCAAGACTATCCCTATTGTATTCTCAATTATTTCTATATTTTAAATAGAGGATCTCTTACTAACTATATAATATTATGGCTATCTGTATGGTTAGCCCTGCTAAATTATAGAAACATGGCAGAACCATTCGGCCCATCTAGTCTGCCCAATTTTCTAAATACTTTCATTAGTCCCTGGCCTTATCTTATAGTTAGGATAGCCTTATGCCTATCCCACGCATCCTTAAACTCATTCACTGTGTTAAAAGACCACTATAGGTACCCAGACCAATTCAGCTCAATGAAGTGGTCTGGGTGCCATGTCCATCTAGGGTTAACTCTGCAGCTGTAAACAAAGCAGTTTCAGAGAAACTGCTATGTTTACATTAGGGTTAATCCAGCCTCTAGTGGCTGTCTCATTGATCGCCGCTAGAGGCGCTTCTCACTGTGAAAATCACAGTGAGAAGACGTTGGATGTCTATAGGAAAGCATTGAGAAATGCTTTCCTATGGACTGATTGAATGCGCAGAGATCTCCAGCGCAGAGGGAGCCCGGAGCTGGAGAAAGGTAAGAGTTTAACCCCTTCTGCCCTGAGGGTGGGGTAGCCTAAAGACCCTATAGTGCCAGGAAAATGAGTTTGGTTTCCTGGCACTATAGTGGTCCTTTAACCTCTACCACTTCAGCTGGAAGGCTATTCCATGCAAATTATTTGCTTTAAAGG